TTCTGCATGATGGAAGTTTTAGCCTTGTGTAGTTCCATTGTTCCCTGATCCTAGCTCCTTCGTGAGGTCAGAGCAGCAGAATGTCCTCTGTTCCAGCTGCAACTGTTGGTCCCCCTGCTCTACACCCTGGAGGGGGGAATCATATCACCTCACTTCTCTGGTTTTGTTTTATCCTGTACAATGAGCTGGAGAGGGTCAGTGGATTACTAATGTCCTTTCCAGAAGGACCCAGAAACTTTGGTTTTGCCTTGGTCATACGGGATGAACAGTTTTAAGTGACTCATTCTGTGGAAGGATTACAAATTAGTATGTGCCATAGTGTTTTACACTTCCGAGAGACATCTGCAATGCAAACTTACTGCAAAGAGCCATGCTAGATAATGAAAATTCATTTTTCTAAATATAGAATGAGTGTTAGGATGTTTTATTAAACTTGTGTTTGTGTTACACCTTTTCTTCTTATTGGATGTGTGGTTTGGCAAGTAGCTCGATCCCTCTTCCTCATCAGTAAGATGGACTGCAATGCACTTCTCAAATTCTTGTGAGAATAAAATGAGATACTATGACAAAGGGCTTCACATAACGTCCAAGACTTAGTGGCAGTTGTTTTCAGGAATGTGGGCTGAATGGAAGCTCATCTAGTAAAAGACTGTATCATTTTTTTATCCTCAAAGGTCTATGCCTGATGTGGTCCTGGCCACGTTCCATTCTGTCAGCTTCTGTCAACCTGAAAAGTTAATGAGACTCAACTTTCTGGGGCTCCTTTTCATTCAAGAAATATCCTTTTGGAGACTACATTTCCTTCCCCAACTAACTCCCTAGAGGCTAGTGCATGAAATGCTATTAAGTGGCCTCAGACCTCATCTGCCCCCAACTTGCCACAACAATAAAAACCCAGAATTTTCATGTTCTTCCCATGATATCCTAATGCTCCTAAACTAGTTTGTGCCATCACAAAACCCCCAGGCAAAGAGAACACTTACAAAGAAGGCTCTCCCAATTTCATGAATGAGGGAACAGAGGCCAACTTTGAGGCAGATGGGTTTCAGATATTAAGAGGAAGGGGTTTCTGAGACCCATCTTGGTCTGGCTTTTCCTTCTACTGGGTTTTTGCCAAAGCAAGCAGGGAATGACCTGAACACAGGAGAGAAAGCTTTGTGTAGGTGACATGTGCAAAGGCACACAACTGCTGCCACTTCATGGTGCAGTGTCTTCAGACCACTGCAGAAATAGGCAGACCTCCCAGTAATTTTACGGGCCACTCAGTACATGAGTCAGGTGTGACATTTTCAAAATGGCAGTGAGATCAGTCTTCTTTTCTGAGTAACAATCTACTCTGTTTTAACTGGAGCACCCTTAACCTCTTTAATCCTTCCCTGATGTATCTGCTGGTCAGAACACTAAGTACACCCTCAAGGATGGGACAGAACAGAGTGATACTGATTCATCAAATAGTCAAAATATGTTTCCTGATGGTTGAATTGTGGCCAGACATTTATCTCTATTGCTTACACTTCAAAGTGTCCTTGATCCAAAAAGACAGGATGCCACTTTAAAATATGGCAGACTCAAAACAGGAAGAATGCCATTCCAACAGCCTTGTTCCTTTGAACTCGGTGGGTTGTATGTTACTCATAATGGAGCAGTTGAAGTCTTTTTCTAAATTTATGGGCTACCATCTAAGTAAGGATGAAGTTGCTGAAATTTTGACTGTTTGAGACATGCTTACGTACCCTGGTGGCAGATAAAATTATCAAGATGAATTTAAGGACCCTTGTGTTTTTAAGAACAAACTCTGTCTCCCCTGATCTTGAACAGGGTTGTGGGAAGGGCAGAGGTAGAATCACAGAGATTGAGTTCAAGTCTCATTTCAACACTTACTTCCTCTGAGATCCTGGTTAAGGGGCTTAATCTCCATGGAACTGAGTTTCTTAGTGTCTTATAAAATGGGGACAGCCCTACGACTTAGGGATCTTTGTGGTAAGATTTATAGTTTAGTTCAGGGCATAAATGTCATTCAGGCTGAGCATTCTAATTAAAAAATCTGAAATGCTACCAAATCTGAAACCAACATGAAGCTCCAAAAGTTTCAGACTATGGAATATTACAGATGTCATAGTTTTTGATTAGGGATGTTCAACCAGTAAAGTCTTTGCAAATGTTCCAAAATCTGAAAGAAAAAAAAAAACACCCTAAGCATTTTTGGATAAGGGATACTGAACCCAAAGTAAACAACCACCAAACCAAAAAAAAAAAAAAAATTAAAATCAGTAAACACTTATTAAACATTTAAGCATTTGTTGTATACTCTGGGCTGCTTGTTGCATGCTGTCCAATTCCAGGACTGTGGTTCGCATCAGTTAGGGGATTTATGTTTATTACAACAGGATTTTTTTTCCCTTGCAGGGAATAAAATATTGAGGAAGATATGCATTTTAAAATTTCATACAAAGGCATCATTTAGGTTGGCATGACCGTGACAAAAATTACAAGCTAACAGGATAAGACAACATAGAAGCTCCAAAAATTTTGACTAAATGATTGCTGTGTGGTCTTGAAAGAGCAAGTGTCTTTGAGGTCAAGGAAGGAGGAGAAAGCATTTCTCACGGAATGATGAGCTACTAAACCTCAACAGCAGTAGAGGTTTCAAAATATGTTCACCAGTTCTTTGATACTTCTCTCTAAAATATGGGGCTTCGCTCCCTTCCCTGTGTGGGCTGTATTTGGTGAACCACTCTAATGAGCTGAATGTGACAGAGGTATGTGACTCAGGACGCTGGATTGTAAAAGGCACCGTGGCTTTCTCCTTGGCTTTTCTCTCTGGGAGAACCAGATGTTAAAAGGGACTCCCAGGCAACACCTAGGGAGAGGTACATATTGTGAGGAATGGAGGAGTCTTGTTAACATCATGTGAACCACCTTTGAGGGAATGTCCTTCAGCCCACAAAACATGATGCAGGCCCCGCTGCCTCTGGTCTCTGCCTCATGAGACACTTGGCTAAGCCACGCCAGGGTTCCTGATCTTTGCATACTGGGATCACCAATGATTATGGTTTTAAGTTTCTGACTTTTGGGGTGATTTTTTAAAAAAAATATCATAGATCATAAATGCAATGGTAATATGTTCTTATTGGGACACTTCCCTTTGGTCAGAGCCTTAGGGCTTGGCTGGGTGATTCATTCTCTGTTGTGTTGAGAAGTTAAGGATTTATCGTATCAGCAACTTATTCAAGCCAGAGGATTTTTTTTTTTTTTTTTACAGAGGAGTGATGTGACCAGAATTCATTTTGTTATCTGTGGCATGAGATGGGATGAGGAAGAGACTGGTTGGGAGGGTAGTAAGGGGGACTTCCACTTAGAAATTTCTAGCAACAGCAGACCAAATAAGAGATGGTGAAAGCCTGAATTAAGGCGATGGCAGAGGGGATAGATATGGAAAGACGGTGTTAGGATTTGGTAGAATTCAGAAAGCAGCAGTTAGCATCCAGAGCCATTTAGTGCAATCACATTTAATGCTGCATTGTATAGGAAAAAATGTGGACTATATGATGAAAACTATATTTATACCAATACTACAATCTTATACACATGTGTGCATGAACACATAATACTTTCATGAACTAGAAGAATAAGCACTTCACAATTAGGAAATGTCTCATTCTTAGAATTTAATATTAAGCATTTGAAACCGTCCTTTATAGAAACTTTAAAAACAAAAAGAAAATAATGAGCTCTCATCTTTCTTAGGAACTAAAAGCCTAACAGTTGTCTATTGTACAAATAAGGCCACAGAGGATTAGACTGAATTATAGTGGGAAGATTTATAGACCTGTCTGAATACAGATCACACATTGTTATTGAAAGACAGTAAGATTCAAATACAATCCTGGATTAAAATAGCATAAGCAGTGATATTAAATTAGGTAAGAAGTGCTCATCTCCCCCAAAATGGTTTCCTTAGGAAAATAACATCTATTTTTAGTATTTCAGTAGCTCTAAAAGGAGATAGATATGCAAATGCTAAGCCAAGTGTTTTTTAAAAGGCCACATTTCTACATAAATGGTGAGGGAAGGAAACTTTTATTGTTAGAATTTTCTTTTAAGAAAACTTATTTTTATTCTATAACCTTGAGTGCACTGTATCACCAACATTCATAGCTGGATTCTTTAGAAACATTTTAATGTTTCTTCTGGAAAGACAATCAGAGAGAATTCAAAACCGGTACAATGAGTCAAGAAACCAAAATTGCTTTTTTTTTTTTTTTAATCAACACTCATTGGAAATACTTACCATTTGTTTCTGAAAATTACATTTTAAATTTTGCTTTCTTTTATATTTGCATGTTGTGTGAAACCTTGGAAGAAAGGTTTATCTTCAAATTCTTTGATCCAATAAATACTGATTGAAAATTTGAAGTTCAAATAATAAGAGATAAGGCACACCCACTAAAAGGAGTGCTAAACGTGAGGATTGAAATTCCTCAAGGGAGAGACTGTGTTATTGGTCATGGAAGTCTAGTGGCAACCATGATGCCCGAAAAGGGAGTCACTCAAGAAGTGACATATTAAAAGAGGAATGAGTGGAGAAATGCATGAACCTGCATAGTGGATGTTGGGCTGGTACAAACAAAAACAGGGCTAGCCATTTTAAAGGTATGCCTCCACAGTAAGAACTCATGAATATTTACAACTGAAGAGTCTTGTGGAAGATGTGAAAATCCTGATGTTTACAGAAAAGATAAAAATAAAAGAAGTGTGAATTAAGGAAAGAGGCAGCAGCATAATTCAGGGATCTTGATGTAACTAATTTTTTTTTTTTTTTTGCAAAAACATGCTGCTACAGCTACAATGAAGGGTGCTGCTGTTCAGAATAGTTGAGATATGGTGAAAACAATTTAATGGAACGTTTCTTTAAGACTATGTATCCAAAATGCCCTCCTGGCCCAGTCATTCATAGAGGGAGAAAAAGAAAGAACAAAGAAATGACCAACCACCATTAGTGCCTGCACCAGAGAGCTATTTATTAGTGGAACTTTTTTTTTCTTTTTCTTAAAGATTTCATAACAAGTGAAGTATGTACAAAGTCTTACAGCATTTACACCAGAAAGTTTCCCATTAGCTGATGAAGTCTAGGGTGCTGCAGCTGAGAACTTCTGAGCATGACCAGAGCAATGACAGACCACCGCAAGGTTACCTCTCTGCTACCACACCAAACCGTTAGCTGGTGACAGCTAACTAAACCACCTGGAGGACAGGTTATTAGGGGAAAAGGGGACAAGGTGAGGCAGCACTAGAGACCATAGGGTGGAAAAGTTACAGAGTATTGGGTTTCGACAGTTTCCTAGAACTGTAACAAAGATCCACAGCCTGGGAGAATAACATATTGCAAGACAACAGAATCACATTGCTCAGATATGGTTCAGTCATCAAATGCATTCACTTTTGAATGGGAGGCTCTATACTGATATGGCTGGTATTTCCGTTTTTTGTTCATGTCTTCAGATAGCTCAACCTACACAAGTTCCTCTCCTCTCCCCCAAGTAAAACAGCAACAAAGGGAGGAAGAGAAACAGCATGGAATTAGTAGTTCTTAACCAAAACCAAAACAACAACAAAAGCCCAGAACATAAAACAATTTTTTAATAAAGGCATTCAGCTTTAGGGTGGTCATATCTGTTGAAAGATCAATACTAGACATTTCTGAAGTATTCCAATCTAAACAACATCAACAAAACCCCCAAATCTCCAAACTCCTAGATTTAACCATCCTTGGTCATATCTGATTGTCTTCCTTGGGGTCAGTATTACACAGAACCATTAACATGGACACACTGACTCGGAATCACAAAGTAGCACTGATGACCTACTGACCGCTCCACTAAGTGGCAAGTGAAGTTTCAACATGTAAACGACTAACATCAGGCTTACCACTGTATTCCACAGAAAACCCAGCCTGGTTCTATTTTCAGTCAGTCACTATCTGTTTGGTAGCAAAACTCATTGATTTGCTCACTGTTATGGTCTCACATGTAGGCAAAGTGGCTTTTTATTTCAAAAACATTCTGCTCTCAACTTAAAAGCCAGTTGATAAAACTTTTAATTAAGACACAATAGCGCGGGATATAAAAACACAAGAACCACATAAATATTGAAGAAATCGTATACCATTTTTTTTTTTTTTTTTGTGTGTGTGTGTGTAAACAGTTTTGCTAAAGAGCAAAGCCCTAAGTAGATTCTGGCCTGAAACTTTTGGCAGATGGGTGTCCAGGCAGGCTCTGCAGCGACGGTGAGGAGGAAGCCAGGCCAGTCGCCATGTTGACAGGCATGCAACTTGAAAACATTGCACAACAAGCAACACAAAGAGTGGAGAAGCTCACAACACTTCAAGGAGACCTCACGACCTTCACAACTGCGTATGCACAGACAGACCCGCCCTTCCCTCCTTTCCACGCACAGTGTCTCTTACACGTGGGACACCTTCTGCGACTCTCTAGCTTGTTTGATGCTATATAACCACTTGATGATCCTAGCGTTTCTTTCGATGGCAGAAATGCCATAGGGCACCCGGTCATTGGCACTGTCATCATTTCTAAGGTCACTGTTACTGTCCTGAGACTGTTCACAGTCTGAGCTGATCATGCTTGCGCTGCGGAAGTTGAGGGAGATGATGTCAGAATTAGCCCTTGCAAAGTTTTCCATGCCGAGGTTTTCCAGCTCTTCGGGGTCCAGTCCACAGTAGTTGAAGAACCTCTCCACGTCTGCATCCACTCGGAAATACCTGTCACTCAAGTCTGACTTAGACCGCTGGAGGGAGGGTCTTCGGCTGACGCCACAAGCTGGTTCCACGGGATCTGCTTCGGGTGACTTCATGGCGGCGACCTTGGGCTTGGGAGGCAGAGGAGGGGCAGAGCTACTGCAGGGGATTGCTTTGAGGGGCTTCACGCTCGTCACCTTGCGGATGTCCGAGGAGCTGTGCGAGACATGGAGGAAGGACTCGGCCGACTGTTCCAGCAGCCTCCTGCTCACGTGCGAACTGCTTTCCTGTGGGCTGCCGCGGCCTGGCGTGGGGTAGACCTTCAGGGACTCGGCGAAGGAGTGGCGGTGCAGGTCGGTGGTGGCATCAGACCGGTGTGGCGGCCAGTTTCGGGAGCTGTGCTTGTGTCCCGAGCCCGAGCTGGAGCCCTCGGAGCTGTTGATGATGTTCTTCAGGATCTCAAGCTTGAGGTTCTCGCGCTGCACCCCGCTCTCGGTTTTGGCGTGGTGGCCGAACACCTTGAGAGTGGGGCTGCCCAGCGCGCGCTTGGCTGCCGGGCCCACGGGGGGCTTGGCCAGCACGGCCGGCTTCACGGGCTCCTGCTTGGCATTGATCACCTCCTGGCTCTTGACGTACTTGGCCTTGTCGGCTTCCAACCTCTCCACGGCGCTCAGCCTCTTGGGGTTGGGTTCTGCCTGCCTGCGGAAGTAGTCTGGCCCTTTGTTCAGGATGCGCAGGGGCACCGCCGACGTGAAGGTGCCCGCGGGACTGACCGGCTTCACCATGCTACCTGTCTGTAGCGTCTCCGTGGGCATGGTGGGCGGTCTTTCCCCGGCAGCCGTGGTGGATTCTCTTCTGGGCGCCTCCGGCCGGCCTGAATAGACACATGTACATGAAGCACAAAGGGCAGCAGAGGGATCCTGGAATCAGTGTCAGCAGCAGCAGCAGCAGCAACAGCAGTGCCTCATCTCACAGCTCATTAACCGCCAATGTGGCTTTAATGCACTTTTTCTCCCCTTCCAGGAGGCCCCTGCACAACAAAAAAAGGCCACAAGCCACAAGTTCCTTTTAATCGGAGTCGCTGCCTCCTTTCTTCTCCCTGAAGGCTGTGGGAGTCTCCTCCAGGTCTTTGTGCTCAACTGCAGGCAGAGCTGAAACACAAAACAACCAACCGCGGGTTAGGAGGGGCGGGTGACATCACGGCTCTAGCAACAGAGGAACCCTGCAGCGCCTCCGCCCCTCGCCGGCCCGCCAGCCTGAGGGTCCCCCATCAGCCGGCTCCCGGAGGCAATTCCCGGTTAACCGCACCGGGAGGATGAAATGGACAGCATCCGAGTCTGCGCTGACGCGCACGGCGGCCAGATGCTGGGGGTTTACAAGAAAGAAAAAGGGGCTGAGGTTTCCCACGCGCGAACTCTTCTAGCTGCCTCCCCATTGGTGAGGACCGCCTCCTGAACACGCCCGGTTGGCATGACTTAGAGCAAAACCCAGGAAATACTAGTGAATGGAGAAGGGGAGGGTTCAGCCAAGCCCGGTTCTGTTCCCCGGCTCAATAAATGCTTTTGGCTTCCTAAGAATTCCTATCTGCTTCAGGTTGCAATATGGGTGGTTTATAATATATCTCTTTTGCAATGAAGCAAAACTTGTGACTAATCTGTAACACTTGAGACAATCACTTCTTTAACTCTTCAGAAACTGAAAAGATGGGCGAGAAATGGAATTGACAAGAAATACAAAAAAAAAAAAAAAAAAAAGTTGAAGAAAAAGGCAACCTGTGTCAGTTACCTTACTTGGGCAATCAATACATTTGACAAACATTTTCCTGAACTCAAAAAAATGGAAAAAAATAAAAAATCATCTTGTCAAACCCAAGCTTAATTTCTGGTATTAAAAACTTTGAGAATGACTATTAATGCTCCATAATTTCTCACACTTAAATGAGCAGAAGTCAAAAATTTCTTTGTGGCACATGTATTCCCAAATCCCCTAGAATACTTGAAATCTTAAAATGCCAATCATTCCTAAATAATTTAGTTTAAGTTATAGAAAATTTGTACAATACTTTAAGCATTCATAGGGCTTATACATGGCTTTTTGAAAAACTTGATTACCAAAATCGAAAATGAAAATCAAGCCAGGACAAAAAAACTCACTACAATTTGAGACTTTTTAATACTGCTGATACAACTTTATGAGCTTTCTATTTCACATATACAATACAATGTAACATTTACCCCTGGGATAATTCTCATTTCCTCTTGCCTCAGGCATAGACCATTTGCCAATCACCAGGCATCCCAAAGCAACTAGTTAAGGACCTTATCAGCATCTTTGGTTATAATTAGGAATATTAAGAAAGTAGTCTATTCAACTAACATGTCAAAGAACTAGATTTAAAAAATACATAAGGTGATATTGCTCTAAAATTGCCTTTCAGTAAGAACATGAAGACAGGAGCTCCATAATCTTCTGAAACTCTTCATCTGTAAATAGAATCCATCATGTTTTATTGGAGACAATTTTAGTAATCTGCAAAGGGATTTGTTCTAATAAAAATATTTTCCTATGCAATATTTGAGAAACCCCAAGGCAATTCCTACATAATGATTTCCTTTAATTGTGCAGTTCTATTTTGATACCTCAATTTAATTTTAAAAACCACCACCTCCCATGAAGATTAAATGAGATTGTTTCCTTGAATGTATATTTTGGATAAAACTGCCAGAGGGACCCAAATTCCTTTATAGAGTTTCTGGGTCTCATCCTGAGTCTACTGCACTGGAAGTGACTCTGGGGTCCTCCTGGGGATGAAAACACAACCTTAATCCCCTACCTCTGAGCCCAGGGGACTAGAGGCAGGCAGCAAAGCCTGGGCTGGGGGGCAACCCTGCAGATCACACCCAGGACACTTGGGAGAGGGTTGTCTGCAGCACAGGCCATGCATCTGCTTGGCAGCATGTCATGTTGGGACTCAGAAGAAGATACCCTAATGAAGGCCTAAGAAGTAACAGTCTCTCTGACCTTCTGTATTGTTTCTCACTCCTCATCCTTCTCCAAGTCAAGTCATTAAAAATTAGAATTCTTTCCAAGGCAGGTTATAGAGACCAGAACCCCAGAACCCCTTTTTCCTCAAGCAACCATAAAATCTCAAAATCTTACTATAACTCTGCCTGAATAACAGTAGTCATAACGAAATTATTTGAGCTACCTGCTTGATGATAGGTCTTAACACCCTAATTCCAGATGGGAAATGCTACATAGAGAGGCCAGGAAATATCTGAACAGACAGGCCTTGCTGGGCCTACCTAGCCTGTTACTATTACATCATACCCTTTTTGTCCAATCATGTTTCTGTGTGGCTGTCCGTGCTTCACTTCATCTAACCTAAGCATAAAATACAACAGTTCACCCTGAGTCCTTGCTTTTTCAATTTGAAGTCTCCAGAGTCACATAAAATTATGGTCAAATAGTTTGTTAGGTTTTTCTCTTGTTAACCTGTCTTTTGTATGGGGGTGTTGTCAACCATGACCCTTATGATGGGCAGGATAGGGATCAGTGTGTTATCTGTCCCTATAGTACTGTAACCACTGATTACCTTTGGAGCTTCCAAAATGCCTTCAGAGGGGACAGTGCCAAAAGCTTTAGGGGCAGAGTAAAGCAGGGCCAGAGATGGGGACCCATCAGCTTTGTGCCAAGGACCAAGTCAACTTTTAGCATATGCCAATGTGGTTTAGCGGGTGGTGGGAGACAGAGCTTATGTCCCTTCTCTTGAGGCATGTTTTGGTTGGATGAAATTATTACAATCTTTCAAATTCTAAAATCACATGGCCTTAAGCAACTGAGATATGGGAGTTATTTCTAATTTCAAAATGGCACATTGGAATACTGGTGAATGACTGGGCTTTTCTATGGTTCCTGCCTTTGCTATTCTTGTAGAAACTCTCTTTGAACAATGATTGATTTGTGGCTATAAAGTAACATCCATGGGCACTGAAGCTCTTGCCAGACTGTTCTTTTCTTACCATCATCTTTTCTAATTCCATCCTATTAGGACCACAGGCCCCAATCATCGACGGGCCTGGCTTTCTTGCATGCCTGTCTAACTGTTAAGGTGGGTTTCAGTACCCCCTTGCAACATTAAATAAAAATCATTACTCTCAACTCACAAGGCTGAGGAATACCAGTCTGTCTACTAGAAGCATTCCTTCCAAACCCCCTTGTCTCTCTCTCACATTACTTTCTTTATTCATGAGACTGATACCCCTGGGATGGCTCCCTCCATGTCCTTCCACAGCCACCAAGCTTAGGAAGCAATTACTAGACATAAAACCAGTGTGAAAGGGTTATGTTTGAAATAGCAATTATTTGTAACCACTTCACACTTCATTTCCTTTTTGTCCCCACTCCTCTCTTTTCTTCCTCTGCCACTGCCAATTTCCTTAATAATTTTTAACACTGCAATGGAAAAACATCTTATTGGAAGGTTCAAGTACAAAAGAAAAATCTGTAGAAACTTTTGGTGCTATCACATAATAATAACCATTACATAAAGTTTTCTACTCTAAATGCCATCAAACCAAATCTACTTCAATAGAATAAAGGTCTTAAGTTGCTCTTTCTCTTAACATCTGCCTAATCCTTAGCTTCTGTTCTTTTACTCTTAATGGGAGAACAATGTTGGCAGGACAGAGATGTATAAGCCTGGAAAATTATTCTTGAGTTTTGCAGTACAGACTCTATAGAAAGAAAGGACCTGGTGTAGATCAGGTATATTAGAGAAGGCCAGTCAAATGTGGATGACCCAGTGGGTACACAAATGGGTATTTATCAACTCCGTGATTAATGCCTTAGCATATGCAGTACATGACCACTGATCGTCTTACACAGTACTCCCCCACCCACCCACCCCCATGTGGCTCGGTACTGATGGGAGCAGTTGAGTCAACTGCTGGGTCAGAGGGGCTTCATGTTGTTTCAGGGAAAGAAAATTAGATCTGGGCTCATAAAATTCCATAAACAAAAGTAACTACATAGTCCTGCTTCCCATGGTGCTCAAGACAGAACCCCAGGTCTTGTGCATGCCAAACACATGCTCTACCACTGAACCAGTCCCCTGTGCAGCACTGTTTGATTCCTTCTTCTGGTGCAAGAGACAGAACACAAGCCCCAGGGAGGGAGAAACTTCTACTCACAAACCACGCTGGCTACATTCTACCTCAATGAATAATATCCATTTGGAAATGTCATTGAAGGATAAAAAAGATTGGGGGAAGAATCTTGGTGAAGCAAAGACACAAAATGGCCTGCTGGATCAGGGTGATCTGGCCTGGGGATGATGGTGTCGCTGGAGGGTGTCACATGAGTCCTGGTCTTGGCGGGAGAGTTTCTGCCACCAAAGGCTAGCCTGGGACAGAGGCACAGGATGAGGAGGAGAAATGGTATCTCTCACTACTCCCTCCAGTGGTACTTCTTAAACTTCAACATGCCTGGCCCAGGGATCTGAGAATGCAAAGTTTGATTCAGTGGATTTGGGTGAAATCCTAAATTCTGCACGTTTTACCAGATCCCAAGAGACACTGTTGCCTTGGAGTAGCAAGGGGAACGGAGAGGAAGCCCATGCCCAGACTGGCAAGCACCCTATTAGAACTGAAATGCCTCAAGCACAGAGGGAATGGGCAGAGTCTTCTTGTCTCTTACGAGAGCTAGGATTCTATTTACCAAAAGAGCCATCTGAAGTTTTTTAAACTGAAGTGGCTTGAATTCTTCTAATTTCCGATTTGCTCAATGCTTACAGAGGCAGGTTGGTAGAGACCGGGACCCTCAGCTGATGTGAAACACTGGGGGACATTTGCAACCCTGGAGGTGTTCAGGGATAGAAAATGATCCTCCATGCACATTATTTGAAAAATGTTAAAGCCGATGATCCTATAATCCAGGCAGTGCCTAGTAATCCTTGATGCCCGTAAGGTCAGGCAGATGATGGGAACTTGAGCGCCTGGCATGAGTAAAGGGGACCTCAGCTAAGGGCTGTCATGGGAACGTGGCTCACTGTTGCTCGGAAGCAAATCCAGAGTGCTGAATAAACTCTCCTGGTTTTAAAATTCAGTACTGAAAAACACTGTGGGCCAAAACTGGTCTGCTGTTTTGTTAC